TTATAAATACTTGCTACACACACACCATAAATATACCTTTCAAAAAATGGTAGCCTACTATACATAATTTGTACTTTGCTTTTTTATTTACTATATCATGCTGATTTTTCCATGTGAGTACATAAGAGTTTTGTCCTTATTTTTTATGGTTCCACCCTATTCCATTGTATGTATATGTTATAACTTATATAACTAGTCTCTTATTGATGGGCAGTTAATTAGATTTTTTCCAGTTTTCAGCTGTTACAATAATGCTATAATGAATACTTGTACAGTTGCAGTGCTCTTGCTTATACCTAAGTACTTGCATTGTTCCAAGTACTTTACATATCTAAAAGATAAATCCATAGAAGCAAAATTACCGGGTCAAAAGGTATGTGCATTTTTAATTATGACAAATCTTGCCAAGTTTTTCTCCATAGAGATTGTACCATTTACATACCTACCTTCAATATTTGTGTGTGCCTGTTTCCCTTACCAGTATATTTGGTAATGTTATGGTTGAAATAACCATCTTTCAGGGGCGCCTGGGTGGCTCAGTTGGTTAAGCGACTGCCTTCGGCTCAGGTCATGATTCTGGAGTCCCTGGATCGAGTCCCGCATCGGGCTCCCTGCTCAGTGGGGAGTCTGCTTCTCCCTCTGACCCTCCCCCCTCTCGTGTGCTCTCTCTCTCTCTCTCAAATAAATAAATAAAATCTTTAAAAAAAAAAAAAAGAAATAACCATCTTTCAGTATTGTTTTAATTTTCACTTCTTATCACAAGTGAGTTTGATCATCTTATATGCTTACAATCAGTTTGTTTTTCCTTTTTTTGTGAACTGTTTTCTTGTGTTGTTAGGTTTTTTTCTTTTCTGTTAGAGAAATTAGCCCTCTATACTATGAGTTGCAACTCTTTTTGCAGTTTGTCATTTGTCCTTTGCGTTTGCTTACATTGGCTTTTCCCAAACAAATGTTTTATTTTTAGTCAAGAGGATTGATCTTCCTCTTTACTGTTCCTGGGTTTTCTCTTATACATAAACACTCCCTACTCTGAAATTATATTTAAAAAATCCTCATGGAATCTTCTATTATTTTTATGGTTATCCTAATTAAAATGTGAGGAATGGATCTATCTTATTCTCAAATGTCCAGTTATCCCAACATAATCTGTGCAATAATCCATATTACCTTTTAATTTAAAAAGTGAGTTAAGGTTTTTGCAACAAATAAATGGCATTTAATAAAGGCAACTGTTATAAATTAAGATACTTAGGAGCCATATCAACCAAATGCAGCATGTGGACCCTATTTGGATCCTGATTTGAACAAACCAACTGTCGAAAGACATTTTTAAGGTAATCTTGGAAAATAGAGTAGGGACTGGATATTAAGATATTAAGAAACTTGTTAACTTCAGTGAAATGATAGTTTTGTTTGTTATTTTTAAGCTCTTCATCTGTTACAGATAAAGAATGAAGTATTATAGGTGATTTGATATCTGGAATTTGCTTGAAAGTATGACAGAAATGACCAATAATCATATGAAAAGATGCTCAACATCACTAATTATCAGAGAAATGCAAATGAAAACAATGAGATATCACCTCATACTCATTAGGATGGCTACTATAAAAAAAGAAAGAAAAGAAGTGTTGGTGAGGTTGTGGAGAAGTTAGAGCCTTGTGCATTGTTGGTGGGAATATAAAATGGAGTAACCTCTATGGAAAACAATATGGAAGTTCTTTTTAAAAATTAAAAATGAAACTACTATGTGATTCAGCAGTTTCACTTCTGAGTATTTACCCAAAAGAACTGAAAACAGGATTTTGAAGAGATATTTTTACATCTGTGTTTATAGCAGTGCTAGTCATAATAGCCAAGAAGTGGAAGCAACCCATAAGTCCATTGATTAATAGAGGAAGAAATTGTGGTATGTACATAGAATGGAATATTAATTTAGCCTTAAAAAGGAAGGAAATCCTGCCACATACTACAATGTGAGTGAACCGCAAGGACATCATGTTAAGCGAAATAAGTCGGTCATAAAAAGACAAATACTGTATGATTCCACTTATATGAGGTATCTAAAGTAGTCAAATTCATAGAAAGTGGAATGGTGGTTGCCAGGAGCTGGGGGAGAGGTGAAAATGGAGAGTTGTTTAATGGGTATAGAGTTTCAGATTTGTAAGATTAAAAAGTTCTGGAGATGTGTTTCATAACAATGTGATTAAACCTAACACTATTGAACTATACACTTAAAAATGGTTAAGATGGTAAGTTTTATGTGGTTTTTTAGTCATGATTTAAAAAGTGCATTTAAAAATGCCAGAACAAAAGGGGTGCATAGTAGATGAAACAAGAATGACTCAACATTGATAATGGTTGAAACAGGATAATGATATCATAGGGGTTCGTTACGGTATTTCCTTTACCTTTGTGTATTTAAAATTTTCCATAATAAGTTTTACAAGTGAGGTTTAGGGAGCATAGGCTTTGTAGACAGAGCTGAATTTGAATTCTAGTTCTGGTTTTTAATATATATAATTTACATAATACCGTAAAGTTTACCATTTTTAAAAAGATTTATTTAGAGAGAGAGAGCACATACATGTGAGTAGTGGGAGGGGCAGAGGGAGAGAAAGAATCCTTAAGCAAACTCCCCACTGAGTGCTCGATCCAGGACCCTGAGGTCATGACCTGGAGCTGAAATCGAGAGTCGGCCGCTCAACCGACTGAGCCACTCAGGCACCCCAAAATTTACCATTTTTAAGTGTATAATTAACTTGTATTCACAGAGTTGTGCAACTATGATCACTGTCTAATTCCAGAACATTTTTAAAACCCCAAAAGGAAACTCAGTACCTTCTAGCAGTCATTCTTCATTTCCCTTTTCCCCCCGTCCCTGGAAACCACTAATCTATTTTTCCCTCTCAATGGATTTTCCTATTCTGGAAAATTCATTTAAAAGGAATCATGTAATATGTGGCCTTTTTGTCTGGCTTCTTGTACTCTATAGTGTTTTTAAGTTCATTTATGTTAGCATGAATCAGTACTTTATTCCTTTTCATAGCTAAATAATATTCCCTTGTATGGTTATACCACAGTTTAGCCATTTTTTCTGTTGATGGATATTTGGAATGCTCTATGGCCCTAAGCATGGCACCTTGCTTCTCTGAGCCTCAGTTTCCTCATCTGTAAGATGGGACTTATAACACCTACATGATCTGATTGTGATGAAGAGAGGGAAAGTACCATACCTAGCACTATGCCTGGTACAGATGGATGCTCAATGAGTGACTTGTATGAGAGGTATGCTGGAACAAACTCACCAGGGGAGAGCATAAAACTATACTCCTACTCTGACCCAATTGGAGTTTATCATAACTCTAGCTGTAAATATGTTGCAGTACAAAGTAAGGATTTTTGGTTCCTTTGCTTCGAAACAAACATACACATGTTGTTTTGCTGTGTGCTTATCAGTGTCCCTCCCTTTGTGGATTTAATGTGTGACATGACTATCTGCTGTGGCTAGTCTCTTTCCATAGCCTAGCAGAAGCTTAATGCATTGAAACTCCTGTCAGACTCCAGAAAACTACGATTATTTTGTAATTTAAATGAAAAAAAAAATAGGTCAGTTGAGTTCCACAAAAATACTTAGGTCCATGGGTTCTAGAGCAAAAATCCAGGCCTAGTTCCTTCCGGCCATGCAACATTAGGAATAGCAATGTAAAAATGGGGATGATAATAATAATAGTTATGGCCTTATGTGATTGAATATTAAATGAGTTAATGAATGCAGAGTACTTGGAACGCTGCTTAGCACAGAGTATGTATTCAGTATCTGTTAATCATTATTATTCATATTATTATACCCCAGGTTTTATGTTGGAGCCAGGAATAGATAAATTACGTCTCTGCAGTCAAGGAAGTTAGTGTGGTATAACCAGTATGCAGATTATTTCAGTATGCTCTAAGTGCAGGGATAGAGACATGCATAGGAAGGGCACTTAAGCGTCTGCCTCTATTACATGAAAAACAGTGCTCTCCAGGAAGAAGCCTGGTACAGTGGAAATTAGTGCATTCTGGAGTCAGAACAGCCTGGGTTTGAATCCTGTGTACACTCATTCATAATGCAGCTTTAGGGGCAGTCAACCTCTCATAGTCTTAGTTTACCCGTTTCTAAAGTGGGGTGAAGTTTCTGACCTCTACCTGCTGGAAGTGCCCTATATGGGTGCTCTGTGGTCTAAGATGTTCCTAAGAAAGCAAGCAAGGATTTTTTTTTAAAGATTTGTTTATTTATTTTATAGAGACAGTGGTGGGTGCACGTGAGTTGGGGGAGGGAGAGACTCTTTAAGCAGCCTCCCCGCTGAGCACAGAGCCCAACCTGGGGCTTGATCTCACAACCCATGAGATCATGACCTGAGCCGAAACCAAGAGCCGGAGGCTTAACCAACTGAGCCACCCAGACACCCACGAGCAAGGATTTTTAAAAAGGTGTTAGATTTAAAAAAAAAAAAAAAGGAGTTAGATGAACTTAGATTCTGTTATTTAACCTTTCTGTGTCTATTTCTACATACAAGTTTTTTCATCCATATCTACCTTGCTCATGGTTGTTCTGACAATGAGATAATGTATGTAAAGTATATGTGGCATATAGAAGGTGCTGAGCAATAAATAATAGCTTTATTATCTTTCTAACAAAGATATCTTCTGTTATTGTGTGAAGTGGAAACTTAAGTAATATATACCATGTTAATTTCAGTATTCTCTTGAAATGCCTCATACCACAGTTTCATGAAAGGACTGGGCATTTCAATGAATACATAGATAATACTGTCTTTATAGTAGGAATAATCAAGTTTGAAGCTGGGAGAGACTTTTTTTTTTTTTGTAGAGTATTGTGTTCAGCCATGTGTGATCTTAAATTTCAACTATAAAATTTAGTTACTAACCTTCTGGATTTCTAACCAAATATAGCCAGTTTCTGTTGCATGACATGTTCCTCTCTTCTTCCCTCCTAGGTCTTTCAGAGCCTTGAAGACCACCATTTGGAAGTGGTGGCTTTTTTCAGGGAAAATGGCTTCCATGGCCTTCTTGCCCATGATTCCGAGTATGCTCTCTACAATATTCCTTCTTACTACAGTTCCCATGCTCTGAAGCTGAGCTGGAATGGGAAGAATCTCACTACCAATCAGTTCCTGATGCAGGAGGTGGCCAAGCAGCTGGGCTTGAAGCGGATGAATTTTCCCATATTTGCTGCGCTGCTAGGTAGGTATCCAAAGAACAGACTCCAGTGATTGGTAAAATTTCCTCTTCCAATGTTAAGACACGAAGACCGGAGCAATTTAGCCTATCATAATTGAATTTATCTTTTTAAAGTCCACATGCTAAACACTATGCTGGAGAAAACCCAGGAGGCTTTTGGACTTCTTACTAGAAACTCAGCATGTTTGTCTTAGGAATTTAATACAGGACATCCTTGAAAATTATTTCGATTTTTGTAAAACTTTTTTTGTTACATTCTATAACTATTTATGCAGAGTACTGTCTTAGGCCAAATGTTTTACTAGCCCTAGATAGCTTTGGTTCCCCATTCAGAGCATTAGCATTTCTTTCCTACTGTCTCAGTTTAGATGAAGAACACAAATTGTTATATGTGGGTTTTTTTTTTCTGTTGTGTGAACATTTTATTATGAAAATATCCAAACACACAGCAAAATTGAAAGAATTTGGTAGTGAAAATCCTATATATCATATATCTACCACCTGTATTCTGCCATTAACATTTTCCTATACTTGCTTTATCATATATCTGTCCATTCTAGCCATTCATCAATTTATCTTTTAAAGATGAATTTAAAAGTAAATTGCAGAGAGCTGGTTATGGTTTTTTAAAGATTTATTTATTTGTTTGAGAGAGAGAGAAAACGCGAGTGGGGGAAGGGGCAGCGGGAGATTGAGAGAGAATCTTAAAGCAGACTTCTGCTAAACGCGGAGTCACTCGGGGCTCGATCCCAGGACCCTGAGATCATGACCTGAGCTGAAACCAAGAGTTGGATGCTTAACTGACTGAGCCACCCAAGCACCCCGAGAGTTTATTATGTTTTCAGTTGGCTTTCCAAGTACTGACAGCATGAAGGTTAATATGTTGTCTCAGGTGTAACCGCTGCTTATAATCCCAAAGGATTTGAGTTTGGCTCATCTAATGGAGTCAGCACAAGTTTTAGAATTAGGCCTATGACAAATTACTGAAGTTACACCTCCCTGGTTTCATCTGTGAAATGGAATAGTATATCTCATTGTGTTACTGACAAAACTAAATGAAATGAGATATATAAAATGCCCAGCACTTACTAGGCAGTCAGTAATTGTGGCTGCTATTATAAAAGGCAGAATGACTAGGTGATAGATAATAGGATGGGCTTTGGAGCCTGCTTCTTATCCTGGCACTTATTAACCAAGCTACTTTGGCTAAGTCACCAAATTTGTTTGAGCCTCAGTTTCCCTATCTGTAAAATGGGGATAATAATAATACTAGGCATGGTTATTACAATAATAAAACATATAATGCATGTGATACATAGTAGGTAATCAACACATAGATACTATAGATATTACATTGAGAATCTACACCTGTGTGAATTATTTGATTATTTTCTTCCCCAAAAGCCCTTTCATGGCCTGGAGGTTCTATGAAAACATTTGCACAGTCAATAAATGACAAATGTACTTTATAGGTAACCACATTCTCCCAGATGAGGACCTGGCTGCTTTTCACTGGAGCCTCTTGGGACCAGAACATCCCCTTGCATCACTTAAGGTAAAGTGCCCCATTTCCTGCCTATACATCCATGCCTAGGGGATATCAGGTTTTTTACATTGGAGTTTTGATAGAATAATTACCTTTCATTAGGCTTGAAATATTTCAAATACAAAAATTATAATTATGATCAATACCCTTAATATCTCTTTTAATTAAGTTTTTATTTTAATTCCAGTATAGTTAACATATAGTATTATATTACTTTGAGGTATACAGTATAGTGATTCAACAATTCCATACATCAAGCACTCATCAAGACAAGGGCACTCCTTAATCACCATCACCTATTTAACCCATCCCCACACCCATCCCCGTCTCTGGTAACCATCAGTTCTCTACAGTTAAGAGTCTGTTTCTTGATTTGTCTCTCTCTTTTTTTCCGCTTTGTTCATTTTTTTCTTAAATTCCACATATGAGTGAAATCATATGGTATTTGTCTTTCTCTGACTGAATTATTTCACTTAGCATTATATTCTCTAGATCCACCCATGTCATTGCAAATGGCAAGATTTCATTCTTTTTTATTGGTGAATAATATTCCATTGTATATATGTACTACTTCTTCTTTATCCATTCATCTATCAATGGACACTTGGGCTGCTTCCATGTCTGGGCTATTGAAAATAATGCTGCCATAAACATAGGGGTGCGTGTATCCCTTTGAATTAGTGCTTTTGTATTCTTTGTGTAAATACCCAGTAGTGCCATTACTGGATTGTAAGGCAGTTCTATTTTTAACTTTTTGAGGAAACTCCAGGCTGTTTTCCACAGTGCCTACACCACTTTGTATTCCCACCAACAGTGCATGAGGGTTACTTTTTCTCCACATCCTCGCCAGCACTTGTTGTTTTTTGTGTTTCTGATTTTAGCCTTTCTGACAGGTGTGAGGTGGTGTCTCACTGTGGTTTTGATTTGCATTTCCCTGATGATGAGTGATGTTGAGCATCTTTTCATGTGTCTGTTGACCATCTGTATGTCTTCTTTGGAGAAATGTCTGTTCATATCTTCTGCCCATTTTTTAATTGGATTATTTGTTTTTTGGGTGTTGAGTTATATCAGTTCTTTGTATATTTTGGATACTAACCCTTTATTGTATATGTCATTTGCAGATACCTTCTTCCATTCAGTAGGTTGCCTTTTTATTCTGTTGATTGTTTCCTTTGCTGCACAGAAGCTTTTTATTTTGTAGTCCCTATAGTTTATTTTTCCCTTTGTTGCCTTTGCTTCAGGAGTCATATCTAGAAAAATGTTGTTATAGCCATTGTCAAAGAGATTACTGCCTGTGCCCTCTTCAAGGACTTCTATGGTTTCAGGTTTCACATTTAAGTCTTTAATCCATCTTGAGTTTATTTTTGTGTATGGTGTAAGAAAGTGGACCAGTTTCATTCTTTTTCATGTAGCTGTCCAATTTTCCCAGCACCATTTGTTATAAAGACAATACCCTTAACATCTTAAGGATTCATACAAACCTATGAAGTGAGATACTAATACTCCAGTAAATGAAATAATGAGCAAAAGACTGAAGCAGCTCACAAAAGAAGAAATACAGTGGCCAATAGTATGACTAGATAGATGTTAAATCTCCCTAGTGATCACACATGCAAAATTTTTTTTAAAAGATCTTTTTTTTAAGATTTTATTCATTTATTTGACAGAGAGACACAGCAAGAGAGGGAACACAAGCAGGGGAGTGGGAGAGGGAGAAGCAGGCTTCCCGCCAAGCAGGGAGCCTGATGCAGGGCTTGATCCCGACCCGAGCCGAAGGCGGACGCTTAACGACTGAGCCACCCAGGTGCCCCCACACATGTAAATTAAATGATTTTTTTTAACCTAACAGTTCGGCAAATACTGAAAAATTAGTCTGCCTACTCCTGTCGAGTCTATGTTGAGACTGATACTCTCATACGTTTCTGGTGGTAGTGTAAGTTGGTGAATATATAACTTTTCTCTAATTCTTTCACTCTGCTAGTTCATACTTTTTCTTCTCTCCTCAAGCCTCTAGTACTCCCTCCTCCTTGCTCACTGTCAGCTCATGAGCTGGCTTCCTATTTCACTTAGTAAATGGAAGCATTTGAAACAGAACTTTACTGGCTCCTAGCCTTTCATCTTGTCACCTATGTGCATCTATGTGCCCACATTTTCTGCCTGCCTTGTGTTAACTGTGGAGTACCTGTCCATGTTCCTATCTAAGGCCAACCCTTCTACTTACATGCCAGATCACATCCCCTCTTGCTAACTGAAAGGCATCACTTTTGCAGTTCTTACTTCTTTCTCCTGCATCATCAATTTTCTCTCTTCATTGGATTTTTCCCATCAGATTTATAAGCATGCATCCATATTAAAAAATAAAGCAAATCCTGCTCTTGACCTTACTCCCTCCACCCAAGCTATTGTTCCATATTTCCTCTTCTCTTATAGCCCACATTTCTTCCTTCCCTTATAGCAAAGCCCTCTATAGAGTCTTCTGCACTTGAGCTGTTTATTATCCCTTTTCCCTATTCTCTCTGCAGTCTGTTTTGAAATTGTTTTTGATGAGGTCCAGATGTTCATAATTCTTGATGTTAATAAATCTAATGGCCAGTTCTCAGTTTTCATCTTACTTGACCAACAGCAGCATTTGACCCAGTGGCTCACTCCCTCTTTCTTAGAACATGTTCTTCACTTGGCTTTAAGGACACCACTCTCTTCTAGTTTCCTTCCTACCTTCACTGGCTGCAGCTACTGTTTCCTTTGTTGCTTCTTTGTCTTCTTTTCTACTTCTTATCTTTGGAGTGTCTCCGAATTCTGTCCTTGGTCCCTTCTGTCAGTTCTCCCTACACATTCTGCCTTAGTGATTGATGTCATCCAGTCTCATGACTTTAAGTATCACCAGTCCGTTGATGACTCCTAAATCTGTGTCTCTAGTTTTGACATCCCTCTTGAACTCCAGATTGTAATATCTAACAGCCTACTAAACATCTTAAGGAAGTGTATCTAAATGGAAACTCGTGATCTTTCCCCTAAATCTGTTCCTCCCAGAGCCTTCCCCATTTTTATTAAAGGCAATCCCATCCTTCTAGTTGTTCAGGCTAAAAACCATAGAGTCATCCTTGACTTCTCTCTCTCTTTCTCACACCCTACATTTCCTCTGCCAGCAAATACCATCAGTTCTCCCTCCAGTATATGCCCACTTCTCACCATTTTCATTGCTACTACCCTGGTCAAGCCACCATTATTTCTTGCTTGGATTATTATAACAGCTTATTAACTGTTGGTCTTCTGTTTGCACTCTCCTCCCCTCCCCAAAACCTATTCTCAGTACAACAGTGAGAGTGGATCTTTTAAAAACTGATTCAGATCATGTTGCTTCTCTATTCAAAACCTGCCAGTGGCTCTTCATGTCACTCACTCAATCTTGACCATGGCCTACAAAGTCCTGTAACTATAACTGACTGACGTCTGTTATAGTTATGATGTCATCTTTTCTTTTGTTTGTAGAACCTTTGTACTTATTATTTCCTCTACTTGGGATGCTTTTTCCTCCCACATAGCTTTGTACCTCCCTCTTAGAGGTTTTCTCAAATGTCATTTTCTCAGTGAGGCCTTTCCTGACCATCTTATTTAATATTACTTGCTTGTGCAGATGCATGCACACACTTGAATTCCCAAGGCCATCTTCTGCTTAGATTTTCTCCATAGCACTTATCTACATCTGGCACAGTATGCATTTTACTTGTTTATTTTATTTGACTCCCCTCACCCTATCCTGACACACCTACCCCAATATTTAAGCTTCCATAGGGGCAGCGATCTTTCTCTATCTTGTTCACTGCTGTATTCTTGATGCCTGTGACAGTACCTAGTTAGTACACAGAAGGCGGTAAATACTTGTTAAAGGAATGAATGGTACAGCCTTTTGCCCAAACAATTTTATACAAAAAGTCTTTAAGAAGTTTATACCCTTTGACTGAGTAATTACAATTTTAGGAACCTTGTAATTAAATACTTGGAAAGTGAACAACAAATCATACCTACATTTTATCATGGCATGAAAAAAATACCTGTATTTAAAAAATTTTCAAGCATCATAAAAGTAGAGAAAATAATAGCATAGGCAGTCACTATTGTAACATCTTCTAGCTCCAACAGTTATCAAGATGTAGCCACACTTGCTGGGTTTTGTTATTGTTGTTTCTGTTGCTAATGTGTTTTAAAATAAATTCTGGACCTCAAGTCATTTTACTCCCACATTCTTCGATATGCATCTCTAAAACATATAGGCATTTTCATGCATGAGCACAATGCCATTGTTACTTTTAACAAAATTAATGATAATTTCTTGGCATCATTTTAATATCTAGTCCATTTTAGGATCTTCCTGATTGTCCCCAAAAGGCTTTTTTGTGGTTAGTTCAAATTAGGATCCAAACATGGTCCACAAATTAAAACCTTACCTTTAATAGCAAAAAATTGGAAGCAGCCAAATGGTCTTATGAAAGAAAACTGATGAATTATGACAATGTCATCAACTAGTGGCTCTCTCTGTAGTAGGATTTATAAATGATATGATGTTATCTTTCTTTATACTGTTTGATCTTTTCCAAGTGTTCTATACTGAGAATTACAGGGGACAATATTTTCAAAGAAAAGATTTTACCTATCTCTCAGTGCATTTACTGAATTTGAATTCTCTTACACCTACCTCACTCTTTCTCTTAGTGATCCATCACCACCGATGTCAGTGTACCTTGCTTATCTTAAATCTCCTAGGTCCGAGCTCATCAGCTGGTCCTTCCTCCCTGTGATGTGGTGATCAAGGCTGTTTCGGAGTATGTTAGTTCCATCAAAGACCCCTCAAACCTGGATGTCGTTGGAAAGGATGTTTTCAAACAGTCTCAGGTGAGCTAGCCTTCTCCTTCTCAAGAGTCGCCAGTTTTCTTACCTTCACTAGTACCACCAGCAGACCTGATTTTTTTTGTCTGTGCTACCTACCTTCTCTCCTCGTAGCTGCTTGTTCTCTCCGTGCTTACAGACCAGAGCTCCACAGTTTCCTTTGAAAACATTACTAGGCCTGGACTGAAAGGGTTCTTTAGCTTTTTCCCACTGATTATCAATGTTATATAAGCTCATTCTGGAAAATTTAGAAAACAAAGTCACTTAAAATGTCATTTCTCACAAACAGCTTGCTGTAGTTATCACTCTAGAATATGTCCTTCTACTCTTTATTTACTTCAACGTATATTTTAATATAAAGAAGGTCTTGCTTAGTGGAGTTAATGGGTAATGAAAAAGACTACTTAAAGTTGGTCCACATAAAACAAAAATCAATACATCATTGTTAATAGTGAAAAATGGGCTCTGCTGGGAATTTGTCTTGTGAAATAAAATTAAAAGTTAGGAAAATAAGTTAGTTTTATTTCTAATAATTTAATTTATACTTGCACTATGGGTTTTCAGTTTATTTTTAAAATTAACATAAAGTAAAACTGACTTTTGTATATGTGTGTATATAGTTCTGTGAATTTTTAGCACATGTACAGATTATGTAACCACCATCACAATCAGGATCAGAACAGCTGAACCACCCCAGAAATCTCTCATGCTATCCCTTTGTAATCACACGCAAACATCGTTGTCTCTGGCAACTACCAGTCTGTTCTCTGTCACTACAGTTATATCGTTTAGAGAATAACATATGAATGGAATCATACACTATGTAATCTTTTAAGAATAGCATTTTTCATTCAACATAATGCCTTTGGGAATCTTCTAAGTTGTTTCATATTGCATCTATCAATAATTCATTCCTTTTTGTTGCCAAGTAGTATACATTGTGTGGATATACCACAGTATGTTTATTCTTTCACCCCTGGAAGATATTTGACTTGTTTCCAGTTTTTGGTGGTTTGAATAGAGTTGCTATAAACATTTGTGTACGGGGCTTTTTCTTACGAACATAAGTTTTCATTTCCTTGGTGTAAATACCTAGGAGTGGGATTTCTGGGTCATATGGTAAGTATATGTTTAACTTTAACTTTGTAAGACCCTGCCAAACCATTTTCCAGTGTGGCTGTTCCATTCCTCGCTAGCACTTGTTATTGTCAGTATTTTTTTATAGCCATTCTAAAAGGGGTATAGTGGTAGCTCTTCATAATTTTAATTTGCATTTCTCAAATGAGTAATGATGAACATTTTTTTCTTGTGCATATTTGCCATTCATATACCCTCTTTGGTGAATAGTCTATTCGTGAACAGTCTTTTGTCCATTTTTACTTGAGTTGTTTATTTACTCACTGTTGATTTTTGAGAGTTCTTTGTATATTCTTGCTTAAAGTCCTTTGTCAGATATCTGGTTTGTGCAAATATTTTCTCCCAGCCTATAGTTTATCTTTACATTCTTTTAACAGTGTCTTTTGCAAAGGAAAAGTTTTAAATTTTCATCTCTTATGGATCATGCTTTTGGTGTCACGTATAAAAATCCTTTGCCTAACTGCAGGCATGCTAATATTGTCCTGTTTTCTTGTAAAAATTATATACTTTTATATTTTACATTTAGAACAAATCATCCATTTTGAGTTCATTTTGTATAAAATGTGTCAGGTATTTTGGTTTATATTTTGCATATTGATGTCCAGTTTTTCAACAGTTTGTTGAGAAGACTGTCTTCTCTCCATTGAATTGCTGTTTGTGTGGGTCTATTTCTGGACACTATTCTGTTCAGTTGACCCATATGTCTATCTTTGTGCAAATAGGACTCTGAATACTTTATGGTAAGTCAAAATAAGGTAGTGATCCCTACAATTTTCTTTTTCTTTTTCAAAATTATTTTGTCTGTTCTAGTTCCTTTGTCTCTCCGTATATATACATTTTAGAATAATCTTTTCTATATCTACAAAAAATAATCCTGCTGGGATTTTAATGGGAATTCCTTATATTAAATATACAGTTGACCCTTTAACAACATGGGGGTTAGGGAAACCAACCCCCCCCATGCAGTAAAAAATCCACATATAATTTTTAATTCCCCACAAAACGTAGCTACTAATAGCCTATTATTGACTGAATGCATTACTGATAACATAAATTGTCGATTAACGCATATTTTGTATGTTACATGTATTGTATACTGTATTCTTATAATCAAGTAAGCTAGAGAAAAGAAAATATTATTAAGAAAATTACAAGGAAGAGAATACATTTAAAGTACTGTATTGTATTTATGAAAAAAATTCACATATAAGTGGACCCGCACAGCTCAAACCTAACACGTGTTGTTCAAGGGTCAACCGTATAGATGAATTTGAGTTTTCAAATCCAGTAATACAATATATCTCTCCATTTACTTAGTTCATCTTTGATTTTTTTCATCAGCATTAGTTTTCAGCATACAACCCCATACATTTTTTCTTTTTTATTATTTTTTAAATTTGAATTCAATTAATTAACATATAATGTATTACTTGTTTCAGGGATACAGGTCTGTGATTCATCAGTCTTATATAATACCCAGTGGTCATTACAACACATACCCTCCCAATGTCCATTACCCCATTACCCCATCCCCCACCCCCTTCCTCTCCAGCAACCCACAGTTTGTTTCCCAAGATTAAAAGTCTCTTATGGTTTGTCTCCCTCTCTGGTTTCGTCTTGTTTCATTTTTAACTCATGATCCTCTGCCTTCTTTCTTCAATTCCACGAATCAGTAAGATCATATGATAATTGTCTTTCTCTGATTGACTTATTTCACTTAGCATAATACCCTCTAGTTCCATCCACGTCATTGCAAATGGCAAGATTTAAATTTTTTGATGGCTGCATAATATTCCATTGTATGTGTATGTGTGTGTGTATATATATGTATATACACACCACATCTTCTTTATCCATTCATCTGTTGATGAACATCTGGGCTCTTTCCATAGTTTGCTATTGTGGACATTGCTGCTATAAACATTGGGGTGCACGTGCCTCTTCGGATCACTATATTTGTATCTTTGGGGTAAATACCCAGTAGTGCAATTGCTGGGTCATAGGGTAGCTCTATTTTCAACTTTTTGAGGAACCTCCATACTGTTTTCCAGAGTGGCTGCACCAGCTTGCATTCCCACCAACAGTGTAGGAGAGTTCCCCTTTCTCTGCATCCTCCCCAACATATGTCATTTCCTGATTTGTTAATTTTAGCCATTCTGACTGGTGTGAGGTAGTATCTCATTGAGGTTTTGATTTGGATATCCCTGATGCTGAGCAGTGTTGAGCACTTTTTCATGTGTCTGTTGGCCATCTGGATGTCTTCTTTGGAAAAATGTCTGTTCATGTCTTCTGCCCATTTCTTGATTGGATTATTTGTTCTTTGGGTGTTGAGTTTGATAAGTTCTTTGTAGGTTTTGGATACTGGCCCTTTATCTGATATGTCATTTGCAAATATCTTCTCCCATTCTGTCGGTTGTCTTTTGGTTTTGTTTACTGTTTCCTTGCTGTGCAAAAGCTTTTTATCTTGATGAAGTCCCAGTAGTTCATTTTTGCCTTTGTTTCCCTTGTCTTTGGAGATGTGTCCAGCAAGAAGTTGCTGCGGCTAAGGTCGAAGAGGTTGCTGCCTGTGTTCTCCTATAGGATTTTGATGGATTCCTCTCACATTGAGATCTTTCATCCATTTTGAATTTATTTTTGTGTATGGTATAAGCAAGTGGTCCGGTTTCATTCTTCTTTATGTTGCTGTCCAGTTTCCCCAACACCATTTGTGGAAGAGACTGTCTTTTTCCCATTGATATTCTTTCCTGCTTTGTCAAAGATTAGTTGACCATAGAGTTGAGGGTCCATTTCTGGGTTCTCTATTCTGTTCCATTGATCTAGGGGTCTGTTTTTATGTCAGTACCATATTGATGACTACAGCTTTGTAATAGAGCTTGAAGTCCGGAATTGTGATGCTACCAGCTTTGGTTTTCTTTTTCAACATTCCTTTGGCTATTTGGGGTATTTTCTAATTCCATACAAATTTTAGGATTATTCCAGTTTTGTGTAAAAAGTTGTTGGTATTTTGATAGGGATTGCACTGAATGTGTAGATTGCTCTAGGTAGCATAGACATTTTAATGATGTTTGTTAAATATATATATTTATATATATATAATATATTTAAACATATATATATATATCCATTAAATATATAAATATTTGCTAAATTCCAGTATGAGTTCTAGCAATTTTGGGGTGGAGTCTTTTGGGTTTTCCACATAGAGGATCATGTCATCTGCAAAGAGTGAGAGTTTAACTTCTTTGCCAAATCGGATGTCTTTTATTTCTTTGTGTTGTCTGATTGCTGAGGCTAGGACAAGTCCCATACATTTTTTAACATTTATTTAAGTATTTTATATTTGAGGCCCCTTTTTAAAGGATATTGTTTTGTTCATTTCAATTTCTAATTGTTCACTGCTACTGTATAAAAATATGATTGATTTTTGTGTGTTGACCTTGTATCCTACAACCTTTCTAAACTCACAAGGAGTTTTTTGGTAGATTTCTTGGTATTTTCTGTGTAGATGATCATACTGTCTGTGAATAAGGACAGTTTTATTTCTTTTCTAGTTCGTATGCCTTTTTTTTTTCCTTACTGCACCATCTAGGATTTTCAAACAATGGTGAATAGGAGTGATGAGAGAGGATCTTGTTCCCAATCTTTGGGAAGAGCATTCAGTCAGCATTAAGAATTATATTAGCTATCAGGCGCCTGGGTGGCTCAGTTGGTTAAGCGACTGTCTTCGGCTCAGGTCATGATCCCAGGGTCCTGGGATCAAGTCCCACATCGGGCTCCCGGCTCAGCAGGAAGCCTGCTTCTCCCTCTCCCACTCCCCCTGCTTGTGTTCCTGCTCTCGCTGTCTCTGTCTCTGTCAAATAAATAAATAA